AAAAATGTTTTCCAATACCTTATGAATGGTGTAAATCAATCAACAAGTGAAAATAACATTATTGTTGATGTGATCGAAGACTTTTCTGATTCACCTCATGATATCAGTAAAAAAGCTTACAATTTCAGAATGGGAAAAGGAGCACAAAACTGGTATGCATCTCGACTGGGTTTCAACATGTATCTACTTCCTGAGGGTGAATTCACTTTGGTGATTGAAGTCTTCCCACCAGCTATGGATCAGGTGACAGTGTCAGTTGTTTCTACTTCCTTGAATATCGGTTTTCAAAATACAGTAGATCCATCATTCACCTACATAAGTACGACGTAACTACGCCTGAATACACCTATGTTGACCTGAAATGCCAGGGTATTGCAAACAGTCCGTCTCAGGGGCGTGGCCATTTGGTTATTTATGGAATCGAAGGAAAACAGAACGATGTGAGCTCAGATGTCTTTGATGAGCTGTATTATTTAGAAAATGATAATGATATTTTTAATGATAATGATATTTTTAACGGGAAGCTTTCTCACCCGTAGGTGATCTACAGAAAGGTCCCGATCCAAAATAACATTAAATTATTAAAAAATAAATACACAAATTAAAAAATATATTAAAAATACAAAAGTAAATTATAGACTAATAGATTTTAAAAAATGGAAAAATGGAAAAATGGAAAATTGACATTCAAAACTGCTGTTGATTTTATGAAATCCACCAACTTCAATGAACACATGAANCGACTGGGTTTCAACATGTATCTACTTCCTGAGGGTGAATTCACTTTGGTGATTGAAGTCTTCCCACCAGCTATGGATCAGGTGACAGTGTCAGTTGTTTCTACTTCCTTGAATATCGGTCAACAAGCAACCAGGCTGTTTTCAAAATACAGTAGATCCATCATTCACCTACATAAGTACGACGTTACTCCGCCTGAATACACCTATGTTGACCTGAAATGCCAAGGTATTGCAAACAGTCCGTCTCAGGGGCGTGACCATTTGGTTATTTATAGAATCGAGGGAAAACAGAACGATGTGAGCTCAGATGTCTTTGATGAGCTGAATTATTTAGAAAATGGACAATTGACATTCAAAACTGCTGTTGATTTTATGAAATCCACCAACTTCAATGAACACATGAACATGAATAATTATCAGATAAAAAATATTCAAGATGGTGTTGAAAATAATGACGCTGTAAATATGAAACAGTTGAATGAAAGTGAAGATAGTCTCGTAAAATTTTTTAGAAGAGAAATGCAAACCAAAATCGGACTTCTGAATGATAAAATTACTGAAGTGATAACAAAAGTAGACGCTCTTGAAAGACAAATTGCAAGAGTATTGAATTCACAAACATATTATTATAAACAA